TTCATGTTACCAGGGAAACTGAGGCCCAGGCTGCTCAAGCCCCTCAAGTAGTAAGTGGTAGGGTCAAGTAGTAAGAAGTCAAGTGGTAACTTGACTTCAGGTTCCCTGCTATGAAAGGCACTGTGCATCCTTCCAAAGCCTGGCTGTTTGTCCTGGTTACAAGGGAATAATCCAGGATTCCCGCCTTGACTTGTGAAGTTGAGGTTATTATGCACTTTGTTACAAGCATTATAAAGCCTATGCGTTAGGGAATACATTCCTTGGAAATAAAAAAGCAAGAACTAGAACTTGTTAGTAAGTACCCATGATAAATTCCAAAAGGAAGAAGACATCTCAATAAAATAGGACTTTTCTATGGGGCTTACAGTTCTGAAAGGAATTTACTGTGAAAATGACGTACTTTCCAGTTTAACTCTTGTTCCTCTCTACGTGACATTGTATTGGTTGTATGTTTTACAGCGAGTATTTTAGTTGTGCATTTTTCTATATGTCTTGTATTTATAGGAGTTTTGGAGCGCATGAAGAAAATGTGTGTTTATCCATAGTATCAGGGAATAGAGCTTCTCCTTAGGGTATTCTATTGGAATGACTGTAATCATTATGTTGATAGACCATTTAAAAACAGAATAACGTGACAAACACTTACACGTATTTACAAGATCCCAGGCACTGTTCTGAGCGCTTCATGTATACTAACTTACATAATTTCCAAAACAACCCTAAGATAGGACTGTTATCTCATTAAGGCACAGGGAGGTTAAGTAACTTGTCCAGGGTCACACAGCTGATAGGTATGAGAGCTGGGACTTGACACCATGATACCTGGCTCCAGAATTCTTGTTCTTATCCAGTACACTGATCCTATTTCCAAACTCCTCCTTTTTTTGCATCTGCAGTTGCCGGCATAGTCAGGTTATATGATCTCTAAAAAATAAGAAAAAGCAAGGCTGATCCAAGTTTGTAGAGCGTGCAGTCATGGTGGTGCAATGTTACTTTGACAGGGTGCTGCCAGCATTGCCCAACCTCGTTGGTGCTGGAGAGGGTGATGGATGGCATGTGTTCATCCTCCCAGTTGTCCACGTCTCTCTGTATCTCACCCTTTGGAAGTGCTCTGCATGCTGGCTCTGGGAGTGGCCATGCAACTTGTTGTATTAGATTCCTATCTTGCATGACAAATTTCTACAACCTTAGCAGCCTAAAACAACATACATTTATTGTCTCAAAGTTTCTGTGGGTCAAGGACCTGGGCATGGCTTTGTGGGTCCTTAAAGTTTCACAAGGCTGCAATCAAGGTATCAGCTGGGCTGTCTTCCTTTCTATAGCTCAGATTCCTCTTCCACGTTCGAAAGGCTATTGGCAGAATCCAGTTCCTTGCAGCTGTAGGACTGATGTCTGTTTTCCTGCTGGCTGTCAGCTGGAGGCTACTCTCAGCATCTAGAGGTCACTCATGGTTCCTTTCCACGTAGCCCAACATGACAGCTCACTTCTTCAAGGCCAGAGGGAGAAACTCTAATGCCAGTCTGCTAACAGGTAGTCTGTTAGCAGGAAATCACTCACTGGAAATCATGTGAGTGACAGTCCCACCTATGCCATATTCTATTGACCAGAAACAAGGCACAGGTGCCATCTGTATCCAGGAGTAGGGGGTTATACATGGGTATAACTCATTGGGGCTCATCTTAGAACTCTGTCCACCATGATTGTTTTGACCAATGGGACAGTAGCAAACTTGACCCAAGCAGAAGCTTGGAAATGTGCTTGCATGTTTCTGCTGGGCCCCTGGCATTACTATGAGGCTATGCCTGCCTAATCTCCTAGAAGGAAGTAAGAGACATGTAAAGAAGCTCTGAGGCATCCCAATCAGAGCTTAGACCAATTTAGAACCAGTCCAACTCCAAACATGTGAAAGAGCCCAGCCAAAATCCACAGAGTTGCCTGTGCAACCTGCAGCTGACTGCAGATGCATGAATAAGCCCAGTCAAGACCAGAACCACCATCTGGCCCATAAATTCATGAGCAGTAATAAATGGTTGTTGTCTCAGCTGCTCAGCTTAGGTGATTTGTCATGTAGCACTATCGTGTCAATGCTAACCGATACAGAATTACCATTTGCTGCATACCCACTCTTTGCCAGGTACCATGTTAGTTTTTCCATATCTGTTTTCTCATTTAATCCTCAAAACAGCCCTGCAGGAGAGCTTGGGTCTATTCAGTATTTTCATTATTGATGTGGGTAAGGATATTAAGGTTATGATTACTAATGGCCAACAAGCACGTGAAAAGATGCTCAACATCACTAATCATTAGGGAAATGCACATCAATACATTGAGATACCACCTTACACCCAATAGGATGGCTACTATTAAAAAGAAAACCGAGAAAATAATAAGTATTGGCAAGGACGTGAAGAAATTAGAGCCCTTGTGCACTGTTGGTGGGAATATAAAATGGTGCAGCTTATAGGTAAAACAGTGTGGCAGTTGCTCAAAAATTAAACATAGAATTACCGTATAATCCCGCAATTCCACTTCTAGGTTCGTACCAAAAAGAATTGGAAGCGGGATCTCAAAGAGATATTTGTACACCCATTTCAGAGCAGCATTATTTACAATAGCTAAAAGGTGAAAACAACCCAAGTGTTTGTCGATGGATGAGTAGATAAACAAAATGAGGTATATCTATATATATACACATACATACAGTGGATATTCAGCCTTAAAAAGGAAGGGCATTCTGACGCATGTTAAATTCTGGCTACATAGACTCAAGTATTCTGACACATGCTACAGCATGGATGAACCTTGAGGACATTATGCTAAGTAAAGTAAGCCAGTCGCAGGAGGACACTGTATGATTCTCTTTGTCTGAGGTATCCAGAAATAGCCAGATTCATAGAGAGAGAACGCAAAAGGGTGGTGGCCGGGGGCGGGGGGGGGGGAGGGGGAGGGGAGTTAGTGCTCAATGGGAACAGAGTTTCAGTTCTGGAAGATGAAGAGAGCTCTGGAGATGCATGGTGGTGATGGTTGCACAGCAGCGTGGATGGACTTAGTAGCACTAAACTGTACACTTGAAACAGTTAAGATGGTAAATTTTATGTGATGTGTATTTTCCCACAAGTTAAGATTATGATTTCTGTCTCATCTGCTTGCAATACAAATCCTCCTGTCAAGGGTAAACAAGGCATGGAAGCTGCCGAGCCCTTACACTCATAGGCTCTGATGGGAGCCTAGCTGGGTTCAGATCTGGGCCCTAGCTATGTGATGCAGCGGTACGATCTTGGCAATGCTACCTAAGCTCTCCAAGTTGCAGCTGCCTCATTTGCAAAAAATCAAGGTAATAACAGGACCTAACTCCTAGCATTATTGTGAGGGTTGAGTGATGGGATACAAGGAAGATGCTGAGCTCAGTGCCTGGAAGAAGAAAGCACCCAGTAAATGTCAGCTGTTGTTGGTACCTGGTAAAAGAGAACACCCACCCCAGTGATCCTAAAAAACCACCCAATACATACTCGTCATTATGCAGAACATAAAGAACATAATTAAGAATCTTGGCAACTGAAAAACAGCATATGGTTTCATACCTACTGTGTGATCATAAGAACAAACAACTTGTTCTTTTCCCTTTGGGTTAGTATTTAAAATTAAGGGAAAATTGCCCACAATCAAGTCTGGGCATGATGAAAATGGGTCACAGTACAAAGCCTTCCACAGTCAAATGATTCAGTTAGTGTTGAAACAGCCAAGCCACAGCTCTGGATCCTCTTTTCAACTCCCTCCAGCTTACAGACCACTTTCTCCTCTGAAGCCCTGAGCCTCTCTTGAAGGTCTTGGGATGTGATGTCTCACACCTGGAGCTACATCTGATTTACCCTCCAGTACATCACTGTGCTGCTGACACTAAGAAGGCCTTTCTGAGCACCCAGAGGATTGGGTTCCTTTTGTCCTGAGCACTTGGGGGACATAGTTAGAAGTTCCCTAAGAACTTGGAGATAAGTTTACACTTAGAGTATTCAACTCTAAATCCCTCCCATAATGGATTACAACAGAGATGCAAAATGTGGCCATTTAAGCATGAAGACATCTGGGTCACCTAAGACCTCAGTATCATAGTCTAAAGAAAAAGCATGTCCATAAGTAGGCAGCCTTAGCTCCTGGTGGTGGTATTGGTGGTTACTCAGCCTTGGAGGAATGGAAAAGGGAGTCATAGAGGCAAATATTGTCAGGACCAGCCCAGCTCTCATCAGGGAAGGAGTCATACCTGTGTCCATTGGTTAAGCCATGTCCATGATGGAGGTGGACACCTGTGTTAAGTCTGACACCATTGTGGCTCCAGTTTCATGCTCACCAAGCCTGTTGGGTAGACCTGTCTACAGGGAAATAACGTACTGGTTATATGAACTCAAGTATTCTTGTTCCCATATGTGGTAGGCAGAATAACGTCTCCACCCCCAAAGACGTCGGGTGTCCTAATTCTTAGAACCTGTGACTGTTATGTTAAATGGCAAGTGCAAATTAAGGTTGCAGATGGCATTAAGGTTGCCGATCAGCTGATCTTAGAATAGGGAGGTTATCCTGGATTATCTGGGTGGGTTGCATGTAATCACGAGGGTCCTTAAAAGTGGAAGACGGAAGCAGTAGCAGCAGTGTGAGGTCAGAGCGATGAGATGTGAGAAGGATTCAGCCAGTGTTTCTGGCTTTGCAGATGGAGGAAGAGGGCAGCAAGCCAAGGAATGCAGCCACCTCTAGGAGCTGGAAAAGGCAAGGGAACAGATTCTTAGAGCCTCCACAGGAACGCAGCCTTCTGACAGTTTGATTTTAGCCCAGTGACACGGCTGCCAGGCTTCTGGCCTACTGAACTGTAGGATAATAAATTTCTGTTGTTTTAAGCCACTAAATTTGTGGTGATTTGTTACAGCAGCAAGAGGAAACAAATACACCGTGGCAGTGATTTCTCAACGTAAATGAATAAATTGGCATTTTGATTTATGTTTCCGTTTCAGGGTATGTGGTTTAAACTCTCCATGGACTGACAAAATCAGGTTTCTGACTCTGCAAAGCTAAGAAGACTCTGCTCCTGGAAGGCCTCTCCACTGACAGACTGTAAGATTAATTTCCATATTTTGAGAACGACTATATGTGTTGGGTGCTTTTGGTATATTTCCTAGAATTCTCTCTACAGCCCTGTGAGCTAGGTATGCTTATGCCCATTTTATAGATGAGATAACTGTGGTTCAGGCTGGACCAAACAACCTCAAATGATCTGGATTTACACCCCATGTGGGTGTCTCTAACACACATACCTCACCTCAGTGCTGTTCTAGAGAAGCTCCATCCCTTGGCGAACAATCCATCTGGTCATGCCTCATGAGAAGACGAGCTGGGCAGAAGCAGGACGGCAAGCGTCCTCGTCTTCATGCTCAGCTGGGGCTCTTACCATTCTGTAGGGAGAAGGGGCTGGATTGAACCCCACACACATTCTGTTATTTGCAAAGTGCTGCCTATCAACTTCGGAACACTTTCTGTACGTTAACTGTTTTACAAACTGTACACGGTTCATCACACTGTGTTCTGCTGTTCTCAGTTCTCAGTTATTATTACTATTATTTTTGTCTTAAGGATTTCTGAGTGAAAGAACTCCCTTAGGTAACCTGAGCCAGATGTATTTACCCTGAACCAGGTGTGTTTCACCCGAACGAGGGGTAGGCAACTGACAAAAGGTCAGAGAAAGCAGCCTCGGAGCCCACCATCCTGCATAGCCGAGGGTCTCCTTTTTCTACATAAATCTCTTGGTGGAATGCTCATAGATATAAAATCAGTGCCAGCAAACCCTCCTGGTTTCTCCTGTGCCTCCAGGAATGTGATTGGTCTACAGAACAGAGTTGAGAACAGATGTTGTTTGATCACGGTCTGCTCCAGTGGGTCTACATGATATGGAACATGTGACTGCCACTCCCCGAGCCCCCTGACTCACTTGGTGCAACAGGGGACTTGCCCTGAGGGTTGGGGCGATGTGCCCGAAGTCCTGAAACTACAAAGTGGCAGGGCTAGGATTCACACCCAGACTCCAGGCTCCAGCATTGCCCTTCCAGCTGTATCCCAGCCTCTGCTTTCCCCACGGCGCTTAGCCTAGTGCCTGGCGTGGATGAAGAGCCCCGAGGAGCTTCCTAAATGAAGCTGAGGCTGTACGTGAGGGAGAGAAGCGTGACTTCCCCTCCTTGTCTGCCAGGGGTTTTGCTGGGTGACTGTAGGAATCGCTCAGCTGGCTTTCATCATCTACCAATTGGGGGTATTCACCTCTGGAAGTCATTCTGTCACTTGTGGTCTCAAGTCACTCCAGAGGTAGCTTCCTGGGGCCTTGCAGCTTTACTCCGAATTTTCCATACAAATAAGCACGTAAGTGGAGAAGCCCCTGATGATACCAGCCAAACCCCAGATTGCTGCTCTCTTTCCCAAAGGAAAGAGAGGAAATGTGTCTCGCGCTGCAGCCGGGCTTCCCGAGCGAGTCAAGAGCTGGGAGGCACTGATCGCTTTGGGACCGGCATCTTCTTCGATTTCATCTTTTCACTTTTCTGCTGGGCTTGCGGGGACCCGGGCCTTATTATTGTCATGCGCCTCAGCAGAGATCTCGTCCTCCCCACCCTTCCCACTTACGGGTAGGCCCAGCGAATTCAGTTCAGCCCCAGAAGCACCGATTGTGTGCCCATCACACCCGAGACCTGAGTGGGGCAGAAGGAGCACAGAGATGAGTGAGGGACGCCTTCCCCAGGGAGGACACACTCTGGCCGGTGACCAGCCGAGGAGGGGCTGGCACAAGCAGAAGTGTCTGTCCTCCCGTGCGGCTGGGGAACTCACAGTGGGGGACCCGTGTCAGGTGCTTCCCTTTGTTACCTGCATCCTTGCTGTTCCCCCAGCTGCACAGACAGGAATCCAGGCTCGGAGGCAGCGGCCAGAGCATGGGAGGTGGCAGGTTCCTGAGGACCTGGCTTCCAACCCAGTCCCCGCCACTCCCTATGCCAGTGACCTTGGGCGCTTTCCCCAGCTTCTCTGAGCCTCAGCTTGGTCATCTGTAAATGCAGAGGTACAGGGCCATGGGGCTCAGCGAGAACGCGAGGTTGGAAAGTTCAGTGCAGCATCCTTAGCGCTCCTGGAGGTCAGATAGCTCCTTGGGGGCGAGCTCAGGTGCTGCCTCCCCTCCGGCTGTCTGCTCGGTTCAAGAAGAGCTGGACTCCATCGCCCCAGAGGAAATGCCTGCGTGGATCCCATAGGCATGGGTTTAGTGGACTTGTTCTTCATTATTAGCCTCCCCAGAGGGACGTGTGCCCTGCCTGCCTGGCGGGCGTGGAACTGGTGGATGAGAGGGGACGGCAGACCGGCCCGATGGGCCTCCCCGCAGGAAGGAGCCTGGCCCTGAGGACAGCCACCCACACAGCTGTGGCTGCACAGCCTTCCAACCTCCGACCCAGACCTCCACTCCCTTTGCCCGCCTTGGGAGGAGGTGGTTGGAAAGCTCATTTGCCGGGACTGCAAGATGCTGTGTGGCCCTGGGTTTGGTGAAGGTGGCAAGGGGCCTACGTGGGGGTATATCTGTGGATTCCAGTGGCTTTCATTTCCTTCCTCGTTTCTCATTTTATTTTGTTCCAGCAGCGGCTTTCTTTTTGCTGCTTCTGAGAAGACCCTCGGGAGAGTCTGGCTCGGGGTCTTCCTCGCAAATGCACGTCTGGCTCAGGGCTGCTTTGATGGATAGAGGGCAGTTGGCCTTGGAAACCGGCTGCAATATTGGCAGTTCCGTGGGACATCCATTACATGCCTCCTGGAGAGAGCTTTTCCGGGGGGCCTCGCGTTGGACTGACGCTGCTCACGAGGGGGTGGGGAAGCAGAAATAACCTAAAAGGAAAGGCATCTATTTTAATGTTTTCGCAGAGCTGCGTCTCCTGCATATGGGTCCAGCCCACTCTTGTGAAGCGGCTCCTTTTGGGAAACAGGGGACTTGCAAACGGCTTGTTAAAGCTAAGGAAACGAAGAGGAGAGGAAACAGAAGCGTGTGTAAGCAGAACCCAGCGCCTTCAGCTGGATTGGCAGGCCCCCGAATCCAAACCCCCTTGGTTTTCATTGGAGACCAGAGAGACCTCACTTATTGTCATGAGATGGAAAGTGCCAGGTAGCCGGGAAGAAGGGGGCACCGTCACCCCCGCTGCCCTCTCTGAGTTGACAGCTTTGCTAGTGAGACATACACAAAAAAGCCCTCTTGGTATAAGAGAGCAAGTATGCCTAATAATAACAGCTAACATGCTTGCTGTATGTCGGTGCTTTAAAAGCATTAAGTAATTTAAGTTCACCAAAACCTTGCGATGCAGATATTATGATTATCCTCTCCATTTTACAGATGAGAAAACAGAGGCACAGGGCAGTGAAGTAACTTGTCCAAGGTCATCTCTAGTAAGCAGAGGAGCTGGAATCAAATCCATGCTCTCTAGAACCCATGCTTCTGCTCCTTGCTCCTCCTCGTTTCTGCCTCTTGCTCACCTTGGGGAATCCAGGCAACTCTGAGAGCTTTAAGTGGTGCATTTGATGGCTCTTAAATCCCAGATCCCTGTTTGGTCGGCTTGTTGTACTTTTCTCCAGATTCACTTCTTTTTTTTTTTTTTTTTTTATAAATTTATTTATTTATTTTTCGCTGCGTTGGGTCTTCGTTGCCGCGCGCGGGCTTTCTCTAGTTCTGGCGAGCGGGGGCTACTCTTCGTTGCGGTGCGCGGGCTTCTCATTGCGGTGGCTTCTGTTGTTGTGGAGCACGGGCTCTAGGCACATGGGCTTCAGTAGTTGTGGCTCGTGGGCTATAGAGCGCAGGCTCAGTAGTTGTGACACACGGGCTTAGTTGCTCCACGGCATGTGGGATCCTCCCAGACCAGGGATTGAACCTGTGTCCCATACATTGGCAAGCGGATTCTTTTTATTTCTTTTTTTAAAAAATAAATTTGTTTGTTTGCTTGCTTGTTTATTTATGGCCACATCGGGCCTTCATTGCTGCGCGCGGGCTTTCTCTAGTTGCGGCGAGCAGAGGCTACTCTTTGTTGTGGAGCACGGGCTCTAGGTGCGTGGGCTTCAGTAGTTGCAGCACGAGGGCTCAGTAGTTGTGGCTCTTGGGCTCTAGAGCACAGGCTCAGTAGTTGTGGCGCATGAGCTTAGTTGCTCTGCGGCATGTGGGATCTTCCCGGACCAGGGCTTGAACCTGTGTCCCCTGCACTGGCAGGTGGATTCTTAACCACTGCGCCACCAGGGAAGCCCTTTTGTTTAAAATTTATAAATTGAAGTATAGCTGATTTACAGTATCACTTAAATTTCAGGTGCATAGCACAGCAATTCAGTTATACATACATATATATGTGTGTGTGTAACTTTTTCAGATTCTTTTCCCTTATAGGGTTCCACATAATATTGAGTATAGTTCCCTGTGCTATACAGTATGTCCTTGTTGGTTATATGTTTTATGCATAGTAGTGCGCATATGTTAACCCCAAACTCCTAACTTATCCCTCCCCCCACCCCCCTTCCCCTTTGGTAACCAGGAGTTTGTTTTCTGTGTCAGCAGAGACTCACTTCTTCTTGAACCTTGGCCTTCTTCCTCTTGTGTGGCTCACCTCGCTGTGGCCAAAGGGCAGAGTCTGGAGTCAGCAGGGTGCAGGCTGGGAAAGCAGAGGGTCTGGTCCGGGGGCAGTTGTAGTCTTCGTCTCAGGAGCATCTGCCTGGCACATAGGAGCTTGCTCTGAGCCGGGCTCTGTGCTGGGCGCTGGGGATACACCTGGCCTTCTGGATCTTGCCATCTACTTGATGAATCAGACAATAAACGAATCAACATATAGAACCCCGGGTGAACGCTATACAGAGCATTACAACTGGCTCACGTGTTCAAGAGTGATGGGTGTCTGTTTCGAGTTGGATGACCAGATGAGGTCTCTCAGAGAAGTGACACTGAAACTGAGATCCTAATGTCGAAATGGAGCCAGCCGTGGGGCAATTAGAAGGAGGGGTGTTCCAGGGGGAGGAACCTGCATAGCTCAGGGCCCCACTGTGAGGGCAGGATGGGTGTGTGTGGACAGAGGCTG